AGCGATATGTTAATGAATGTAACACAGTCAATATCAAAACTAACCAGTTTTCCATGCATGTAAACAGCTTCTCTTGTCTGTTTTTCCTGTTTTTCAACCCTACCTATAAGCAGGGCAATCAACTTACTTCAAAACTTTAATTAGTTTTGCTTTCACTGTGGTTCATCTCTGTACAGAGAGGGAACTACTGAAACCTAAGTAGTTCACAGTAAGTTCTTCCTACCTACACAATATATTCACAGTTCTCTTCTCAGTACAAAATGTTGAAACTTTATAAAATCTGACCATGATGAACCTCACTACTGGTTTTCTTACAGTGAATTTTTCAATTTCAAACCTCTCCCCAATCTTAAAAAACAGGATGATAAAAACTTAGTAAGATATGAAACAATCTTTAAAGAGGGGGAGTGGAAGCTCAGACATCACAGCTCTATCTCTTAGATATCTGGTAAGCTTAAAAATTTCACATCACAAGAAAAGAAGATTTCAGAAAATAGTATGTGAACAGGGATAACAGAGATTGGGAAGAACTGATTATTTTGGTATTTGCTTCCATTGTGTCAAGCACCACAACTTCCAGCAAGCACTCTGAGCTAAAAAACAGCAGACTATTTTAGACTGGCAAACTTTCTCTGGGTAATCTGCTATGTCAGATAAGAAAAATAACCAACCAATAAGCAAAAAGCCCATAACAAACTAACAAAAAAAAAAAAAAAAAAAAAAGAAAAGAAAAGGAAAAATCTTCATTGTTCCTCCTGGCTAAACAGAGCCACTCTCACCAGCATGACCCTTCACAGGAAAGCAAATAATTACATATAAATAATACCATCACATTAAATACTTCAGAGAACTTATGGATCCCTTCTTTCTTGCAAGAAACCCATGCTGCCATTTCTCCAGTCAAATCATTATATGCTGTATTTAATCCACTTAGAGGCCTTCACCATGCTGGCACAGAATACTTTCCCTGCTACGAGAACCTACAAGTCCACAAGTCACTGAAACAACGATGCAAAATTGCAGCAAAGGTTCTGAGAGTCTTCTGACAGTATCTCAACTGATAATTACACTTGCCAGTTTCAAAGCGGAGCTTAAGTGCTTCACTAATTTAAGTGCTACCGTTTACTATCAATGTTTTCCAGTGTAAAAGCAACGTGATGTTTTTAACAACTGCGAGTAGTCCGATACTCAGTTTCCATCGACGATCCAGCAGCAGGACTCCCCCCACGAGCACTGGGCTAAGAGGACACCCAAACTGAATCCAAGAAAAGAGTTACTGACAGCCCTCCCTGAGGATTGGCTTTCTCTGGAGACTTCAGATATAGATACAAGCACTGTCTGAAATTGAGACTAATTAGCCTACAAATGCTGAAGAAAACGTAGCTAACAGATACATTGCTAAGACCCCCGTTCTCCCTCTCTCACCACAGCGGGGACTCTTACCAAGTGATAACATCTGAAGGACACATCCCAGGCACACTTGCATGGCCCCACCTTCATGAGGTGTTTCTGTGGAACTCTGTCCAGAACTGACTAGGATTCAGAGCAATTATTTAGGGATCTTGTAAAATCAGAGTTTTGCAAGGACATAAATTCCACGGGTGAATTATCCACATGGAGAGGTACAATATGATGTACAGATCCTTCCTGGAGCAGCTGTTTTTGAAAGCTGAAAGGGGCTATAAATAGAGTGTCACTTGATTGCCAGTTCAGATGAAACGAAAACATGGGGTAAGTAGGAAACAGCAATCAGTTCTCAAATGTCTTCCTTCAATACAGAGTCACTTTCAATATTTCTGGTACTTTACGTCACAGCATATCACTATGATTTTATCTCACTGAATGTCTCACTATGCCATTACCATTCACACAGATACATCTTCTCTCCAACACACTGGGAGCTGCATTGGTAGTTATGGTTTTCATTTGATTTGGTGGCTGAAAAACAGCAGCAGACAATGAAGAGATATATAAACGTCTTAATTTTGTAGTGGTACTCATAATGGCTTTGACAAATTTACCAAAAAAAATCCCCCCAAACAAACAAAAAAACCCCACAAAAAATGCACATGGGCAGTGCCTCAAGTTTCCCAATACTATTTTTAAGCCAAAATGAAATTCTTGACTTGCACTTGTTCTGTCAGCCAGACTGCTGAAATGTTACAAAAAAAAAATATGCAAATAATAAGAAACCTTCCTTCCTGTTCAGAGCAGGTCAGCAGTGACCAACAACTAGTGCTACCCATACAAACAACAAAGCTCCTACAAGGAACTGCTGAAGTCTGAAAGGGAAAAGACCCACAGAGACACTAAACTACAGACAAAAAGGCACAACAACCGGCCTGTTGTCTTGTAAATCTGCACACAAGCAACTACACCTGACTAGTGGGTTTATTAAGGCCATAAACACTATTTTGGGTAAAAGTGCAGTGGCTCCACAAGACAAGCACACCATGTACCAACCCCTTCATTAAAAGTAGGAATTGGTAAGGACTGAGCATCTCCTGCCACCACCAACACGAATCTCAACATAATTCAGAGGGAATGCTCTCCCAGGCCCTATTTTCTCAAGGCAATAAAGCTACTGAAGTTGTTTAGGTTAAATGAAAAACAGTAAATATGAGACCTTAACCTTAAGCCACCAGAGGGATTTTGTTCTTAGCTAAAGTTATGTACATTTTACTGGAGAAGCATCCAGAAAAGAGATCTTAGTAAATCTTGGAGAATGATTTCAACTGATCAAATCTTAATACTTCAGCTGTCAGAGACACAATCATGCAAGAGCAAAAGAAAAATAAACAAAGAAACAAAAACCACACAAAACCTCCAGAAACAACAACAACAAAAAAAACCCAAAATCATAAAGGTTTTACAGTGCTTCCTCAGAATCTGCACACTACAGTCCTAATTTTAACACTGAGCTTTTCTGCTCTGACTGGAGCAGGAAAAAACAAACAAACCAACCAACCCAAAACAAAACAAAACAAAAAAAGAAACAAAACCCCAACCCCCCAGAAACCCCAAATCAAGTCAGAAGGGTTGATCACTAAAACTTAGGACAATCCTGTGCTACGACTTGGCCAAAAACAGCTGTCAAGACACAACAAAAGTCAAAAGCAAGTTAGACCATTACGATTTCTTTAATTTTAGGACCTCAAAAATGCTTTCTAAGGGACTTCTGTGCATGTGGGTGCTACACACACACACACACCCGCCTCGCTGGTGTGGAAACCAACCAGCAATGACCTTGATTTCCTTCGGTGGATTTCTGACTGCTAAGGGACCATGGGCAGAAAAGTACCGAGGTAGGCTCGGTAATGTGATATCCCACTTTAAATTCCATCAGGAAACAAGAGGAAAACCAATACTGACCACGGTCAGAAACGCCTGGGAGGCACAAGAAGATACACGTTTTACAGCACCGTAAATCAGCTCCCTCTCGAGCACTCGGAGGTTTCGACTCAAAGGCAGGAATTGCTTTGCCACTCAAGCACAAAAGAACAACCCATTTTCCCTGGAGAGCTACCCCTCCCTCCCCAAAAACCCACGGCGGCACTACGATGGATCACCACACCTCCAAAACCACGGGAATAAATATTGTGGAGTTGGGGTTTTTTTTAATATTTTTGGTAACGTTTCGCATGAAACCTGCGCCATCACAAAGACCACAGCGATAGTTCCTTCTACACCACAGGAATGTCCCCGCGGCCTCGCGAACTGAAAGTAGCGCTGGGTTGAACTTCCGAAGTGGAAATAACCTGGACAGGGCGTGGGAGCGAGGGCAGCGCGGGACTGGAGAGCCGGGGACACAAATCCCGACTGGATCGGGCGATACCGGGCGCGTCCCGGCTCCCGAACCCCCGGGAACACCCTGGGATCGCCTACGCCATTATCCCAAGGGCGTTCACGCGCTTTGTTCCCGGCAAACCCGGACCCTGCCCGGCCTCCGGGGATGATCCCGGGGCTATTCTGAGCCGCCGCCGCCGCCCAACTTCCCGGCTGGGATCTCCGTGTGCAACAGTTCCTTCGGGAAGCGGAGGGACCGCCGGGTCCTGGGGCACCGCCGGGGGTTGGGGTGGAGGGCAGAGGTCCCGGAGCACCCTCAGGGTGGGATGGGATGGGTCGAGGGGAATGTTGGTGGGTGTCCAAGGAAACTTGGGAGCTGTGAGACAGCGCGACCGAGGGGCGGAGCGGCGGAGCCGGGAAGGGCTCCCGGCCCCTTCCTCACTTTCGCGGGTCGCCAGGAAGGGCTCCCACCCCCCGTCCCGCCCGCCCTTACCGAGGTAGTGCCTCCGTAGCAATCCGGGCTCCTCGAGCCCCAGGCTCCGCTTCTGCACGTCCCAGAGCAGGTGCGGGCAGCGCCCGCGGGACATGGCCCCGCGCTGTGTCGGGGGCAGCGGGGCAGTGATGGATCGGGATGGGGGTCGGGATAGGGGTCGGGCCGATGGAGCGCCGGGATGGGCCGGCGCGTGCGATCACCATGGGAACCGCCGAGCGGGCCCCGCGCGCGCCCCGCACCCGCCGCGCTCCCACCACCGACAGCGAGCCGAGGGCGGGGCCGGCAGCGGGACACGCCCACCGGGCACGTGGCGGGACACGCCCACGGGGGGGAGCGAGGGAACCGGGACTGACGCGCGTCTCGCGCGAGATGGTGACGTCATCGAGCCCCAGAGTAAGGGCAGGTGTGGGCGTGGCCGGTCGCCGAACCGGCTTTCTGGAGTCAAACCGTGGCGAAGCCGCAAGGCCGCCATGTTGGATTTGGGCTCATTAGATTTCCGCCGCTCCGTCCATCTTGAGCAAGAGAGTGAAGCCTCACAGTCGGCAGCCATCTTGAAGCCGGGCGCCCCTGCCCTTCCCGAGGGCGGACGGCGCACCAGATCTCCTCAGGGGGCGGGGCCATCCCGTTCAGCCAATGGTGCCCCTCCTCGCCCCGCCCTCTTCGGGGACAGCCAATCAGCGCGCGGGGCCGACGGGGGCGGCCGGAGGGGGCGGGACGCGCAGTCGGTCCCTGCTCGCGTCCTGGTCCCCTCTGGTCGCCCCAGCTCGGTCCCCGCTCGCCCCACTCGTCCCGCCATGGCCGCCGCCGTCGCGGGGCTCCGCGCCTCCTACCACCGCTTGCTCGACCGCATCGAGCTCATGCTGCCGCCGCGGTTCCGGCCCTTCTACAACCACCCGGCGGGTAACGCGCGGGGGGTCACCTTGGGCGGGGGCCGGGAGCGGGGACGCGGGTGCGGTGGCTCCGTTCCTTAACGGGGACGTGGATGTGTCTGGGAAGAGGAAATACAAAAAGGCAGGCGCCACACGGGTGGTCCCAGCCGGGTGTCGCTGTCACGGCGCTGGCGGGGAGCGGCGGCGCTGCCAGAGCCCGTCCCAGGGGATACGATGCTTCCAAAGGAGACTGGAGGCCCCGGCAGCCGAGTGGATGTGCTGGGGAAACAGAATAGAAAATAGAATCGTGGAATCACGGCATGGTTCGGGTTGGAAAGAACCTTAAAGATCATCTCGTTCCAACCCCCCTGCCAAGGGCAGGGCCACCTCACACCAGACCAGAGTGCTCAGAGCCCCATCCACTCTGGCCTTGGATACTTCCAGGGACGGGGGAGAGCGCTGACAGGCTTGCTGTGGGTAAGGAATTTCTGTGGAACGAGCTTCCCTCACCTGACCTACGCGTTGTCTTTGCATGAGCAAACACGGGGGATTGTGTTATTAGGGAGAAACCTCTTGTAAAATGATCTCCTTCAGTGCCATTTACATGGTGTTTGTCGTGTAAACAAACTGTGTCGGGCAGTTAAAAGCAGTGCTCGATAAAATCCTGGAATTCCATAGGCTGCTGTTCCCACTGTTTTGTGTCAGTGGGATAGGCATCCTTGACTCTTCACCCACCTGGAATATGCACTGTGAAAATAGACTTTGGCTTTCAGTCCGTCCTTTTGCAATGGTTCTTTCTTGGAACGAAAATAGTTTCTCTACAGAAATCACAGAGTGAAAAAACTGCAGTTCTCAAAATGTTTGGTTTGTACTGAATTCACTAGACCATAATATTTAATATTAATGTATTTTTATATATGAAGAGCCAATATATCCCACACTTCCATTATAAAGGTGCCGGGAGACACATTCAATCTGTGAGAAAAGCAGCTGGAAGCTGCTTTTTTTATTGGATACAAGGCATAGAAAGCACAGGGAATATCTGTGTTCCTTATTCACCAGAACTGCCCATGGGCCACTTCTGTTCACCACCCAAATGTTGTAATTAATAAATCCTTTTTTATGGACTCTTTGTGTGTATGTGTGTGTGTATATATATATATATATATATCTATATATATATATACACATACCTATCTGCATGAGAAAAGTCCTAAGCAGGTACTGAAACTGAATCTTTGCCACTTCTGGTTCAGCTCTGAACATCTTGAAGGTTCAAGATGTGTCTGTGAGAAAGTTATGCAATAGATGTCACTCTGGCTGAAAAGAAAAAAAAAGTAGGTTAAAAATGAAAGGCTGGCATTTTATCTCTGGTGATATCCCAGTTTCTAGTCTAATTTAGGAATATAAATGTCATTGTTGTGAAATTATGAATCACTTGTGAGGGGTGAAGAATGTGCTTTCTTCTTTCCTGGCACAAAGAAAGCTTCCAGTGAGATAACTGATGCCTGGTCTGAAAATCTGTTTCTTTGGCTGGCATTGCTGGAGGACAGTGCAGGGCCTGGCACACCAACTCCCCAGGTTGCCATGGGAAAGCCTGGGCTCAGCTTGCCTTCCCTCCCCTTTGGCCTTTTTGATTCACTTTGCCTGATTAAACCAAACTTTGTAGCATAAAGACTTCTTGCATTTAATAGAAGTCATAAATCCTATAAACTGGTCACACACGTGATAGCCAAGTGAGCCTCTGCTATTCCCCCTGCTCTGATACGCTGCTGTCAAATTCCTCCTTGAGAAATTCTGGATATGGGGATCAGGGAAGAGCTCTCCCTGGCTGGGTGCTTGCTGGAGTGCTTCCAGGAGAAGTGTTCTGCTGGAGGCATTTGACACTATTCCCTAATTACAGCCTTCCCTTTGCACCTTCTTCCATTGTTCCTTACTTTTGTAGTCAGTAGTTTTAAATGGTCGAGTTATTTATCTATTATTAATAAAAATTAATGTCAGTCTTCTTGAAAACTTTAATGGCTGTTTAATAATTTATACTTACCCCACATTCTTTAGTACTCCAAATCTGAATTTGTCTTCTAGAATAAATTAAATTATTAAAGCCACTTACATAGGGCCTCTGTAAGACTGATTTGTAACAAGCTGTATTGCAGCCCGATGCTGCCACACTGAGTAGCTTCCTAAGAGAACAGCACCTGAAGTTTGCATCTTTAAAGGATGATACCGTATTTATTCAGCAATATTAGATAAAAAGTAGTTATTAACTGCAGTGTGAAGCTTGATCACAAGCAGTGTGGGTTAAAGAGGGCTTTATACAAAGCTGCCAGGCCAGTTTTTGTTGCTTTCTGCCCTGCCCTTTTGAGTTGACAGAGCAGTTAACATTTGTAACAGTCTCACCCCCCAGAATTATGAGTTGCTTCACAGGTGCCTGCTGTAGAAACCCATGTGTCAAATTTTCCCCAAGTCACAGTTTTAAACTTGAGGGTGCTTAAAACAGGGAGCACAAATAGTTGCTGCAAGGTCTTTTTAAGGCTGAATTGTTAGTGAAAAAGTAGCTCACATAAAAAGCAAACAAAGTCCTGGTGGTTATTCATATGTAACACGTTACATCTGTTACACGTTACAGTGAAAACCTGGCTTCATCTTGGATGTTACTGGAGTGCTGAACCGTGGCACACTGAGACCTAAACATCATGTTCTGATGGAATTGGAACCAGTGTCCTGACTGTCTCCCAGTGCTTTGGGCCGTGAAGCAGTAGTCTTGGATTAATGATTTCTGGCATGGTTGTAGCTGTGACTTCACAGTGCTTTGTTTTAACCAACCAGTTGCCACTTTAGCACCACTGTAAGATACATGTGGTCTAGTGGTAAAGGCGCGGCGCTGTCACCGCCGAGGCCCGGGTTCGATTCCCGGTCAGGGCCACTCCCGGGCAGGTGGGGCTCGTTAGCCCTTAAAGGCAACCCACCTACGTCCTAAGGACCTCGCTGCCACCGTCCAAGCTCGCTTGGCCCCGGCAGATGAACCTCAGGATTAAAGGGTGGGCTCAGTTCCGCGCACACTGTGTCTCACCTAAAAAATCCAATGCGCAGGCTGGAAGGTGGAAAGACCTTCCCCGGATCTTCACTCGCAAAGACTGGCCATTATTATAAGATACATGTATTTCTAAGAGAGCTGTTTTCCCCCAGACCCCATTCCATTGATTTTTTCCCTTCCTCCTGGAGAGTTTTTCCCCTTCCTCCATAATCCTCCTTTGCCTCCAGGCAGATTCCCGGGTTTGAAGCATTGTTTCTGCCAGGAAGACAAGGCTATTGAGAGGTGCAGGTTAGAAAACACTCTCCTTGTGACATTTACTGCTGCTTCTATTTGTGATTTGTGCTCTCATTTGAACAATCTGATGCCTGTAGCCTGAAGAGGTGGGCTGTGATTTGGGAAAAGAAGGAGGGACTAGCTTGTTACAGTCTTAGTAATAAAATATTTTTGAGTTTTAGTTTACAATATTCAGTTTGCAAAGAATTAAAATACTATTTCTGTTAGTCCAGCTGTAAAGTAAGTTTTAATCATTCTTTGGAATCTGTATTCACTATTCCTAGGCCTTATCCCAACTCTTTTCACTCATAAATCAACTTTGCCTGCTCTGGTGTCCTTAGTTGCTTAAAAATGGACATACAAAATCCTACTGATCTGTTGCAGAAGTGTGTGGGCTGATTACACAACTGAAAGTTGATGCACTGAGTTGATGAACTATGAATATAAGGTGCTAGAGCTTCTCCTGTGGTAGAAACTGTGCTAATACACACACAATTCATTATTTTAAAAAGCCCCAAAACAACCCAAACTTACTGTGGGTATTAAAATAGCTACATCTCACTGAATAATTTAACTTCTTTTCTGTTTCCTCCCCCACTCCCTCAGGTCCCAAGACAGTGTTTTTCTGGGCACCTGTTATGAAATGGGTAAGTATGAGATCCCAGCTGGTGTCTGGCTGTCAGTCAGCAGCAATCCATCGAGCAAGCAGTAGTTTCCCAGCAGACATCTGAGCCTACTGAAAGATTTCACACTGAGGCTCCAATTTTTAATATAGGTGGAGGGACAAAATTAACCTTGATAACACAGAGCACAACATGCAGGGACAAAATGCTTGAGGGAAAAATTGTACTTTTCACTTTGAGTTTCGCAGAAGCTTTCTCTTGTGAAACACTAACTCCAGGTAGGCATGAGCTGGCACAATGCAAGACTCCTAAAGCATGTATTTCTTCAGAGATTGAGGAATTTGAAGAGTATCTTAGGGAAGCTAAATTCCTAGGCCTCCTAGCTTGAAGGTAGGTTAAAGCATGTCAGAGTGCAAGGTAGTCTTGAGAAAACAGAAGAAAAAGGCAGCTGCCTTTTTGGCTATCAGTAGCTCTCTGCCTCCTGTGAGGTTCTGCTTCCCACTTGGCTACATGTCTGGGCTGTGTGCCCAGGTGAAGTATTTGCCTCCTCCTAATTCACTGTACTCCTCCTAGCTGTTGTATTGGTATAGATAGAACAAACAACCTTTAAGCCCACAAAGCTGTTTGATCTCCTTGTTTGATAACTGGCAAGGATGTCACCTGCTCTTGCTATTGCCAGCTGGTTCCCCACTTTGCCATTGTGAACTCCAGCTTTGTATAGGCCACAGGCCTTGCATTATGGTCTAAGCTACAGCTTGGTTTTTTGTCAGTCTAGACTGGAGCTGCAGCAACCATGGTCAAACCCCCCCCTTCCTCAGAGGTTCTCCCTGAGCCTGAGCAGCAGGCTGGTGTCAACTGCTGCTGTGTCAAAAGAGCTGACACACAGCTGCTTTTCCTCTTGGGAACATGCAGAAGTGCTTCTCTAAGCTCACAGTGGGTGTCTCCACTGAGAAGTTAAAAAGACTTTCCCCCTGGATGGCCAAGGCACATTCACTGCAGATACTCAAGGGTGTTAAAAGTCCATCCCTCCCATTGCACCAGTCCCATAAGTGATGCAGCACATAGGAGTCTCTTCCCTTGAAAACTGGTTTCTTGGCTGGAGCAATGAAGTCCTTAGGGGCAGTCAGGGAATTTAAAGCGTTAGGACTCACTTATTTTGTGGGATTTTGGTTTTGGGGGTATTTCTATGGATTTTTTTGTGAACTCCTTAACATGACTATGAAATCGTATGTCCAGTAGAGGGCAATAACACAACAAGCAAATCAAGCAGCGTGTTTGCTACTAATGTGGTCAAGTAGGTCAGCCAAGCTATTCCTCAGTTCACCTGGAAGTTTTCTGCTTTTACTGAAATGATATTTTAAAAGAAGCACTTTTATCCCCTTTAAATGAAGCTGAGTGAAGACTATATGGTGTCACACCTATATCTTTACCAGCTATATCTTAGCCTGATGTGTAGGAAGAAGGGCCTTATTTAAATAAGCATCTACTTGTTGCTTACAACAAAAAAATAGGTTTGGTTAAGAAAGCTGTGCTAAAATTAACCTTGTTCTTGAATTAATACAAAATTGCCACTGCCTGGGATTTTATTGACAGCCAGTTCAAACCCCCATAACTGTGTCCTTATCCCTACCATAAGGGACTGGAACTGGGTGGTATCTCCAAAAGTCTAGTTGCTTATACAGTGCATCCCATCTCCTGCATAATGCACGTAGCTGTGAAACAATTTCCCCGTTTAAATCCCTTGATCTGTTACAGGAGGTCCTGGACTGGTGCTCACTGAATTTCTCTTTACAGGGCTTGGTATGTGCTGGACTGGCTGACATGGCCAGACCAGCAGAAAAGCTCAGCACAGCACAGTCTGCAGTACTAATGGCCACAGGTAAAGCCACAGTTACTCCATGTTTTTACCATCTCTGAACCTGAATATACTCCTTTCCAAATCCTCCATCAGAACTAATCTACTTCTGTAGAAAGGCTCTAACTATAACCTGCTAGCTCTCACTATTGCTGTTGGATGATAGTTCTGGGACAGCTGTATACTTTTTATCAAACCTGTAAGTATTCTGTAATCATATAACAGTTTTCTACATGTCTCTTAATTTGGAATTGCCCAGACCAAGTTGCTAAGAGTTAAGACATGAGTTTCATCTCTTAAGTTACCATGAGACCACTCATTCCAGTAAGTGACTTCTTTTGCTTCAGATCAAGTAATTTTGAAATCAGGCCAGGATATAGTGACTTTTTTTAAAACAGACATTATGGATTAAAAAATGGTAGAGTATGTAACTGTAAAGAATCTGCAAGTGTTACAAGGAATTGGAAGCAGTGGTACATGGACTACTGCACTGCTGTCTGCCAAGAACGCTCACACTGGCAGAAGCAATAGTCTGTAATCACAGAATCATTTAGGTTGGAAAAGACCTCTAAGATCATTGAATCCAACCAATAACCCAGCACTGCCAAGCTCACCACTAAACCATGTCCCTAAATGACACATCTACACATCTTATGACTCCACCACTTCCCTGGATAGCCTGTTTTGATGCTGATAACCCTTTCAGTGAAGATGTTTTTTCCTAATATCCAATTTAGATCTCATCAGTGCAACTTGAGGCCATTTCTTCTCATCCTGTCTGTCACTTGTTCCCTGGGAGCAGAGCCTGACCCCCACCTGGCTATAACCTCCTTTCAGGTAGTTGGAGAGGGAGATAAGGTCCCCCCTGAGCCTCCTTTTCTCCAGGTTAAACTCCCCAAGCTGGATATACTACAGCAAAATACCACTACCCTGCAACTGTGCTGGAGAATTAAGGTCTAGACTTCTGTAGAATACGGAGATTTTTGTCTGATATTCAGACTATGATTGACTTTACTGTCTAGTTACTTTGGGAAAATGCAGTACATACCTGTAGCCATCCCAGTGGCACTTGCTGTACTTTTCACTGAGAAATAGGTAGTTATAAAAAAAAGCAGTTGTTTAACATGAAGTCGTAAAACTTATCCACTTAAACTAGCCCATGTATCACTCTCCAAACTTAGGGAAATGTCCAAGTATTTCATTTCAAAGGCTTAACATCTTTAAACCTTCCATTTGATTCAACAGGCCTTATTTGGTCACGATACTCTCTAGTTATTATTCCTAAAAACTGGAGTCTGTTTGCTGTGAACTTCTTTGTTGGCTGCGCTGGAGGCTCTCAGCTCTTCCGGATATGGAGGTAGGTGTTAAGAAGGGCTTCTCCACATTCTCTAACTAAGCATTCAAACCACCTGTTCTTAACTAGGAACTCATAAATGCTGCCAGCCTCAATGTCAGTGCATCAGGCAAGAGAACTGAATTATTAATTAAACACTGCAGAACTTTTTTTGCTACGTTGTTACTTTTCCAGTCAAGTTGGGGTGAAGATTTAAATATTTTAGTCCAACTAGAACACGTTTTAAGGAATGCTCCATGTAAGCTGCAGTTTCCAGGTCTAAGGCATTTAAAAGCTGTGGGTCTGACTGACAAACAACCAAGACTTTGTCCTCAATCAGCTTTTAGCATTGAATCTTGTCAGTTCCAGCTGGATCAAAGGATTCTTAAGCAGAGCAGCACTTTTTAATTTTTTTTTTTTTAACTGTTATTATTTCATGAGGGAAACTTTGAAATTTTCTGGCTTCAGTACTAGCCAGGAATGTAGGAAACTTAGCTACTTTGGAACTTTTTATATGAATTAAGCTATCCTATGCTGAGTTTCCACCCTCAAGCCCTGTAATTTTAAACCTCCTCTGCTGAACAGACTGTTAGGAAGACACTGTTATTGTAACTGTTATTGTAACTATTCTATTCTTAGCCTATGCTCTTTTATTTTTTTTTCCCTATAGGTATAATCAGGAGCTAAAAGAAAAACAGCAAGAGCAGCTGCAGTGAAGAGATGCTTAACCCAACAGGTCAAATCTAACAACGCACAAACCCATCCCTATGGGACCCAGCTTCACTAATTTTAATGTGCTTTTCCTCAGAGAAAATCAGAAGAGGAAATTTAAATGCCTAGAGAACAGACGTTTTCTACGTGCAAATAACAAAAGTATCACCATACATTTAAATAAAGGGTGACGTTTTAGATCGAAGCAAAATTGTGTGTTTTTATTGTCTCTTTAAAGACACTGACTGTGGACTGTGCCTGGAATGAGTTGCTGGGTCTCACCTTATCTGACTCCAGGAGTTACACAGAACTGGTGACAGCCAGAGCCTCAGACTGAAGTGATTTTTCCTGTCACAGTCAGACCTGGGCAGGGGTTTACCACACTTTCAGAAACCAACAGCAGCATTCGCATTTCATTCCCTGCTGCTCTTCCCTCGTAGCGTAAGGCCATTCTTTTCAGCTTCAGTTATGTGCATCTGCAGTTGTTTCCCAGCCACCACTGTCTCTATCAAAAGGAGAACAAACTAGTGTGTGCCACTGGTGTTTTAGCTTTTGTCATCCTTTATAACTTGAGGCAGAAGAGCATTGCATTGAAGTACCAGAGCTCAGGAATTTATATCCAGGGGAAAAGATAATTGAGACCAGGTAGCTTCTTCAGGATTGAGCTTCCATGAAAATGAAGGCCTTAAAATCTTGGGAGTTTTGCAAAGTCCTGTTTTATGTCTTTCTCCACACTTACTTTCCACTAGTCTCATTTGAGTTATCACTCCAGCATGGCAAGGGTGGAAAGGAACTGCACCTTGCTGTGGCACCGATGTCCCCTCCTTTTTCGCCCTTTGTACAATGTTATATTATCTTGCGCAAAGTATGTGTGCAGGACACTCCAAGGAAAGCATTTTCCATTCTTTCAAGGCATACACCTGATACTCTGTCAGCTCCCCTTTTTCAAAGGCTGTCCTACGGTGAAGCCAGTTGTGTTTTGCTACAGTTCCACTTGCATTCCTTGGCTCTTCCAGCAGTAACATGGGGTGTCAGTTCCAAGGGTGAGCTCTCCAGCTGGGTTGTTGCTGAGCGGACACAAACTGCAGTGACTGAAGAACATCGCCAGAGACAGAGGTGTTGTATTTCAGTCCCCCTCCCTTCCCAATCCTCAACCAGGTAAAATTCATCCAGCAAACCAGTAATGGGAAAAAAAAGTGTATTAAAATATTCACAAGATTACAATACAAAACATGAAAGTCCATTCAAGAAAAAATATCCAAGATAACTGTTTCCAGATGAGTTTGTAAAAGCAAAAGCACTAACAGTTGGTACACCGGCTTTTCAAGTAATCAGGCCATGCAATGCATATCTAGCTCCCTCACACAGATTATACACCTGTCTTACAGGTGTTTTGTTTTCTTGCACACCTCCAGGACAGAGGTTTACAAAAGACAAGTACCCACGTACTCTGTTTTCAATTACATTTACCACATAAGAACAGCTGGCACTGCAGGGAGACAGAAGACATTGCACAGCACACTGATCTCCAAAGGCATGGAACTTAGATTTTTAGAATGCAAAAATACCTGTAAATGAAAAGGCTTATTAGCTTTAGGGCAGTGAAGAGAAGGGAAAGAAAAGCCTCAAGAAGAGTATAATTGCTGAGCAGAGTTAATATGATTTTGTGGTGTCCCATATAAAAATGTCACCTAAATACTAGCACTGCAGAGGTGTGGCCACAACCCAGAAGTCTTATCCACCTTCTCCACTTCGGTGGTTTAAAAGAGAAAGTATTTCCATCACCTACTATACAGTAAGAGCATTTGAGGTCATAGGCAGATACATTAGTAATGCAAAATTCCAAGACAAGATTTCAATACAGAGTGAAGGTGTTTTGGTGACAAATCAATCAGTCTGTGCCTGACCTCAGTGAATCCACTCTAAGGCAATGCAGTTCCTCAGTTGCACATACATGTTTACTGCAGCTACAGCTGGTTACCCAAACAGTTCTCACAGGTTTAAAAAGTTTAAAAACCTAATTACAGCTCTTCTAGTCACAAACTGAAATATCACTAAAGCTTTGAGAGAAAACAAAACCCTGCAGGTCTCTGGTTATAAATCAGACAAGGAGTTACAGGGACGTACTTGCCACCCTGTGATGGCTCTTAATGTCACCTTGTGACCACGGTGACCATCTTTCCCACAGAACAACTGCTGAAGTCAGAAGGGGTAGTGGAAATCTGATGTACTGAGTACAGCTACCAAATTACTTACATTGATACCTTACAATTATTTGTAATCTTTCTCCTGAAATTCATTTATGGTAATCAAAAATAAGATTTCAGATTGATCCGTTTTGTTTACATGATGAATAAAAGAAAATTCATTGCAAGTCTTTTCCATCATACAGACCTTCCCCACTATGCAGGAGCAATGAGTCACCTAACAGTTTCACTCCTTGAGGCTGCTGCCTCAAGAGAGGCACCTACTCCTCTGCTAGGCTAATGCAAGCTTGGCATGCAGCACTTCTTTTTAAAATAGATGGTCCTAAAAAGAGCTGGCAGCAGTCCTACAACAGAACAAGGGCAATGCCCTTTGTGTTCCTCAGAGTTCAAGCTGTTCTTTTCCACCTGCAAGGAGCAGCATTAGAGAATTAAGAGAACAGCAGCAGAGCAAACAGAGATAAATTTCCGGTCACCACAACATCAGGATATGATGACCTTGTTTGACTTTAACCTCTGGTTGCTCTACCCATCAAGGAAGTAGAAGTCCTCCGTCTCCTGTGACTTTGCTAAGTAAGCCAACTCACCATCAGCACAGGTTATCGTATCATTAAACAAGATAAGATAACCAGACAGACAGAAAGTTCACAAGTGTTATCTCACAATGCCTGAAGTCCTTTCGACTTCAGTCTGTTACTTAATAGCTACATTGTTCACTTTTCCATGACAAAAAAAAAAAAGAAATTGAACAGCCCTACCACTGGAGAGGGATTCAGACTGATTTCTGCCGTTCCTGGGGGAAGAGATTTTTGTTTCTTCTAAAAAGATGTTCAGTGTTTTTTAAAAATACTTCAAAGCTCATCCTGCCCTCATAAAGAGGACCCAAGGAGCCTTAGAAAGAGCCTCCTCAGTCTAGGAAATATTCATGTACCTGTAGCCAGACAAAAGCCATGCAAGGAGGTGTCTCCTTATGTCAGTCAGCACCAGATCAGCACGTCTCCTAAAGTTAGCACCAGATTAGTGTGTTTCCTGAAGTTAGCACCACATCAGAATTGTGCTCAGATTCTCCAGTATATTCCAACAGGAAAAGAAACAAACAGTAGTAGAAGATTTCAGAGGCAAGGCCAGCCCCATCTTCTCATAGCAGCAAGTTTTTGATCACTACATTCATCACAATTCTCCCTCTTACTCAAAAATACTTCCTTGGGGAGAAAATTGGTGATGCACATAGGCAGATCAAAATCAAGGTTCTCCATCAACCACACCAAAAGCATTAGTTTATTAAGTGTAAAACAAATGTTGGGAAGTAACAGCCTGGTAGATAAGAAAGCAGCAGCAGCAGGATTCATTCTGCTCCTAATCACAGAACCACAGCATATGCTGAGTTGGAAGGGATCCATCAGGACCATCGAGTTCAATTCCTGGTCCTGCACAGGATCATCCCCAAGAGCCATGTGCCTGATAGTGCTGTCCAAATGTTTCTTGAACTCTGTCAGGCTTGGTGCTGTGACCACTTCTCTGGGGAGCCTGTTCCAGTACCTGACCCCCCTCTGGGTGAAGAACCTTTTTCTAATATCCAACCTAAACCTTCCCCAACTCAGCTTCATGCCCTTTCCTCGAGTCCTGTCACTGGTCACGAGAATAAAGAGATCAGTTCCTGCCCCTCCTTTTCCCCTCCCAAGGAAATTGTAACTGCAGTGAGGTCCCCCCTCAGTCTCCTGCGTGCCCTCAGCTGCTGCTCACATGGCTTCCCCTCCAGACCCTTCACCATCCTTGTTGCCCTCCTCTGGATGCCCTCTAATGGCTTAATATCTTATATTGTGACACCCAAAGCTGCCCCAATATTGCAGGTGAGGCCGCCTCAGGTCAGAGTAGAGCAGGCTGGCGAGGCTGGACCTGATGCACCCCAGGACAAGGATGTCCCTCCTGGCTGCCAGGGCACTGTTGGCTCATGGCCAACCAGACACCAACCAGGACCCCCAGGGCCCTTTCCTGGCACTGCTTTCCAGCATTCGCCAGTCTGTCCATACATCCAGGGTTGCCCCATCCCAGGGGCAGAATCCAGCACTTGAGGAGATCATATAGAATCACAGAAGCACAGAATGGTTTGGGTTGGAAGGGACCTTAAAGACCATCTTGTTTCAACACCCCTGCCTTGGGCAGGGACACCTTCCACCGGACGAGGTTACTCAGAGCTCTATCCAACCTGGCCTTAAACAAATCCAGGGATCAGGCATCCACAACTTCTCTGGGAAACCAGTGCCAGGGCCTCATCACCTTCTGAGTAAAGAATTTGCTGGCTACATTCACCAATGTGAGTACTGCAGCATCCAAGAACAGTGGACAGGCACACATCAGATACTGGCTTGTATCAACAGACAGAAGCTTGAGTTGACAAACTGCCCCTGAGTGTGTCTGGGACAAGTAGGTCCCACTCCATCAGCTTCCAGCACTGGGAAGAAGCATCATAACCCTTCATGTGGAGTCTTGCTAAAACCCCTCTTTAATCCACAAAGTGGAAAATTAGATTTAAAGGCCTTCTGTGGAGAAGAAATTTGTTCATTTTACATCTGTATGCATTACTGCCAAAAATAAAATGCTACATAATTTTCAGAGCTGCAATGGTTAGTGAGCCACAGCACAGTGTCTCAGCTCCCAACGGGACTTGGCAAACACCTGAAAACTCATACTTGAAAAACTTCCTTTAAAACTGAAACATGTCCTTTCTTTGATACCAGCCAAGTCCTGGAACAAGGGTTACACAAATTCAGATACTGCAGGATTAGGAACTGACACCTAGCAGAATAAATTAATCCATGGTTTCCTTTTGAGCCTCAGTTTTAAGAAGCTGGTTCTGGCTTTGAGGACAATGTCTTAAAATCTAGCCAGTGCATGTACACAAAAATTAAGCTGTCAAATTTTAATAAAGGCAGGTGTTGTCAGGAAACCTGTGAAGTCTGATCCTGATGAAAGAATATAGTGTTGGCATGCCCAACAACTTTGTTGAGGAAAAAAACCCCCACTGTATGAAAAACAGCTATTCAAGTTCCACTGTTATAATTAAATATTATCGAATGTGCTTCTGAAAGGGTCTTCCATGGGCCTATAACTATTTCTCATGTACTTGGTATTACATTAGGCTTGAGTTTGTTTGGAACAGATTGCCCAGAGTTGCTGTAGAGTTTCCACCCATGGAGATACTCAGAACTGGGCAGAGTGCTGGGCAACCTGCTCTGGCTGACCCTGCTTGAGGAGCAGGGGTTGGACTAGATGATCCCCAGAGGTCCCTTCCAACCTCAACCATTCTGTGACTGATTCTGTGCAACAAGACAGAACTAGGAAATGGGTAAGAATCAGAGACAAGGCGCTATGACAGACCAAACTGAAAATCATTTGCTGCCACAGAAAAAGGCCAAACAACACCACATTAGGATGTATAAAACAAAAATCCTTCTACTATATGTTACTCTGAGAAGATCTCTGCTGGAATGCCACTTCTAGCTCCAAGCACTACATTTCAGGATACTGTGGATCAGCAGAAGAAAGGTCCTCTCTGCAGAGATCCTTAACAATCTAGGAGGAGTTTAACTTAGAAACAAGAAGCTGAGGAACTATACTCAAGCAGTAGACTTGCAGAGATGAAGGAAATAAACTGCCCTTCTGCATCCTCTGTGCAAATATAGGTTACACAATAAAACACCCACATCAAAAAAAACCCAGAGAGCCCCAGATCTCCTCAAGAGGTCATTTAGCGTCCACTACAGGCTTTTAAGAACAGATAAAGCACCTCTAAGGAGGTGACAGTGGTATAATGGAGCCATGGGAGAGGTAAGGGAGTACTACAGCTTCCAGATCCCTTGGAGCCCTTTTTTACACTTACACGAAATGACACAGCTTTGAGGAAGAAACTTTTCACTGAAAAGTTCAACAGTTTGAGGTAACCACCTACAGCTAGAGCTTCCTATGCCTTTAACTCACTATTTCCTTCGTTTTCACAAAATTCATTCATACCATTCCACAAAATTCATTAGATCAACACTATCCCTGCATCTTAAAGGACTAATCTTGAATAGCTGGGCTCATAAAGAAGTAAACAGTTCTGTGACCCATGTTACACAGGTCAGGTAGGCCTAAAGATTTCCTTCACTTACACTGCTAAGACATACATTTCTGACAGCTAGGAGTCACAATTTGGCTTACAAGACCAAGTGAGAGGGTCTAGTTTTCATGAGAAGGCAGCTTTTACTGAGAATCTGACCAAAGAAAGATAAATACCCTGTATACATATGGAACTCAGTGGATATAAAGAAGATGTCATGTCTCCTTTATATTCATCTCAACAAAAGAAGGCCTTATAAGCAAAAAAAAAAAAAAAAAAAAAAAAATTCCAGGTCAATCTAGAATCTTCAGCATCTTCCAGTTTCTCCATTAATAATCAAGATAAAAATACTTTAAAATTGTGATGCGAGTTTTCACTTTCTCTCTCGTCACACATGATACAAAAAAGAATATTGGCAATTTATAAGCAAAATTCTTACCGCATTTCAACATGCAACATTGGTCTCACTTCTGTACGATTAAATAGACTATTTACACACAATACATATATATCTTTCCCTCTGTATGCACATGCATTGGTCCTAGCCTAGGCATCAAAGGCCACATGTGAGTTCTCTGGGTCAAATCTTGTTCAAGCAATTCCAGTCTGGGTGTGTGTTCTCCTTTGGACAGCTTAGGATCTCATCTCAGTTCTTCCGAATGTCGGCATAGACCACGGACTCTGACTTGTTGATCTTGTCGCTGTGCTGTCCCCCGGAGTGATCTAACTGCGCGTAAATGACTGGGCCCTGGGGACACAACAAAGAGGCGTCATCAGGACTGCTCAGAACCGGCAGCACATCTGCAGTAGGATGAAAGCCAAAGCAAGACCACAGAGCTTTAACGACTGCGAACAGCACTTGGAAGCAGGTGGAATGAACCCTCGCCTTTGAATGAGCTCTAGTCTGCCACCTTTCTGCTCCTGGGAGCAATGCCAAACAGCACCCTTTCCTCCCTCTGAGATTTCTTCCTTCCCACAAAAAGCAAAATCTAGAATCCTTTGCTCAGAAAAGCAGCAATTCTTACGTGTTATGGAGTAAAGACTTGTGGCTTAGTCAGATGCATGTCAGATTTGTTATTGTTCAGGAGGAACTGTACGACAGATTTACCAGTCCACAGCAGAGGGTGCTTCCCCTTCTGCCACTCAGTTCCTGTAAATTCCAGGATAAATTCCACTTGGATAAAAGGGAGGGAACAAACCTGCAGCAACCCTGTGACACAAGTCACTGCCCAAACAAGTGATGGGATCAAGACTTAAATGGTGTAGTACAGAAAGTACTGAAATGCTGCAGCAGTACAGAACTCTTACCTGACTTCAGAGCCAGCCCAGGCTCTGCACAGCTCCACACACACCCTGGGCAGGCATGGCCACACACCTTTGTTACCTTTGCTGGGGTGCAGTGGGGGACATTACCAGCACTGTCCTTCAGCTAAGCAAACACGCCTGCACCTTCCCAAAACACCATGTCCTCCAGAAGCCCACAGGAGAGAAAACTGCAGCTACTGGAGACAGGACTGCAGCCTATATAGAACAGGTGCCCAACAAGACAGGTGGGACCTCTATGGCCAGGTCTGACCTGTAGCTCCCACACTGCACCCCCCAGCTGACACAAGCTGTCGTGGTTTTGCCCACCAGCCCGTCCCTGGGGCTGTGAATGGTTTTGTCCAAGTGGATTTCCAGGCAAGAAGCCAATTAAAACTCTCAGTAACACCTTTGCTAATTATATATTTAAGAAAACGGAAGAGAAGGGGGTTACACAGTTGAAATTAGGGGCAGCAGCCATGTAGAAGAGTCAGCAGGCCCGAGGAGGGCAAGGCCCCCTCCTCCCCCGGCTTGGGCCGGGGGCAGGTGTAGCACTGAAGCCCCCCACTTCTCTCATGTAAGAGAGTGAATAAAATAAACTTGAAAGAAGGACTGGCTGCTTGGATGAGAAATGCTGCAAAAGAATTCCAGCAAAGAGATAACAAAGTGTCCAAGGTCAAAGCTGGTAGCTGCAGGAGAGAGAAGAAGAGTGCAAAGGGGGGCTGGTTTCTCCCCCCTTTTGCTCTCTCCTTTCAGCAGGGAAAAGACTGAAGAATAAAACCCTGCTACCTGTGAAAATTTGTTGGGGTGAGGAGACCCCCATGTTGCTCGTGGAGGAGCCTACACTGGAATAAGTTGATGCATGAGGAAACAGAGACTTCATGAGAGACCTGAGGTGAGGCAGAGTCCTGTTGAAGATTTTGTGACCCTAAGGGAAACCTATGCTGGACCGAGATGGCCCAGGTGGGATGTTGGGATCCGAGTGAGGGATCCATGCTAGACCCGTGCTGGAGAAGTCTATTAAGGACTGTTCTCCCGTGGGAAGGGACAACAGGGGTGGACTCATAAGCCATTATCTCCTGTAATCCTGTGGTGAAGATCCATGGTAGGCAAGTGTCCCCTTGCAAGCCCCATGGAAGAGAAAATCTTCAAGGCCTGGGTAACCCCCCAGCCTCCAGTCTTAGCTCAGGAGGGGGGTAGGCCCAGCCCTGGAGGTTGACACAGAGCAAGAGAGAGATGAAGGAGTTCCAGCTGTGACGAGAGTGCTGCAGAGTTATTGAAGAGATCTGGAGCTCCGAGAATGGAGAATGAGACTGCTTCTCCTCCTTGGACTGATATAAAGCCGGGAGAAGTATTACTGTAAATACACAGTACTTTTACTTGAGTAGAATTGTTGTCGTAGATATAGTTCTTTAGTAGTTTTTTTATTTTGCTAGTAATAAACATTCATACTATTTTCCACAAATCCAGTTCTCTTTTGTCTGTATAAACCTTCTCTCAACTTAGAATAATTGTGTGGGGAGTGTGAAAGCAAACTGACCCAGAGCAAAACCACGACACAAGCACAGAGCACAAGGCTGTGACCATCTCAGCACAGAGAACACCCCCACACATACCCCTGCAGGAGAGAAAGGGACTATCCTGTTTGGGGGAGGGAGGGGGGAATTACAGAGAGAGAGTTTTTAGTTTGGTTGTGGCTTTTTTAGCAGTTTTTCCTTCAAAACATTTCATCAATTTAACTGTTTCGGTTTCCCTCATGTCCCAGGAAGAAGGAGCCTTCACAGGCACTTCTCCTACTCCATTCTTGCTTTTGGAATCCTGCCATATTAGGAAGCATTTCTACAGAACTGACCCAGAAATCCTGCCATCTATCTCCCAAAGCAATTAGGAGCCAGAGATGAAGAGACCTTCTGTGCAGAGAATTAAGTCCTTGAAGGACCGCAAGCATCTTCCTGCACAGCTGTTTTCCCCCCAGCACAGTGGCAAAGCACATACCTGATAAATACCTTGTTCTCTTTCAGAAGTAATTTAAATCCACATTTTCTTCCTTCAGGGTAAGGTATTTCCAAAGCGATAAAAGAGTAGGAGAAGACAGACAGAAGGGGAAAAACTCGCAAGTGATACAAAACACTGAATATAAACAACAGACTGAGAAAACGAAGAAGGAAAAAAAAAGGACACCGATGTCTTAGAAAATCCTGGATTTTAAATCTCATTATAGCCATTTTTTTCCTTTTTCTGCTATTTGCTTTCATGTTGTTCTGGTCTCCAACACTGTATTGGGATTACATTACTAATTCCAATTAGAGTGCAGTGTCTATATACACTTCAAGGCAAAGTAACCTAAAGTTTATTTGCAAGTAATTTTGGAAGTCTCATCTGCCTGAGGCCAGAGATCAAGAGTAGGATAAATTCAGATCAAAAGCACTTTCTATCAGTTAAAAAAAAATATATATATCTAACTGCATAAAGTGCTCATTATGACGTTCCAAGTCTTGTTCAAGTAATTCTGATGGGTCAATTTTCTACCACGGGAGTTCACTCTGGACTATTCAGATTACTCTGATTACTATTCAGACCTAACTGATCCCGTCCCCTCAGGATCAGTCATCACTATTATAGGTTTATGCCATTTAAATACAGCTAATCGGATGCAACCAGAATGTTAGGTGGTGGTGGAGAGACTGACTGGTCTGATCACCTGACCCAAACCAAGCTACCATTGTTTCAATATGTTCACTGTCAGTCACCTAAATAAGTGGTAGGTCAGCTAATAAAGAGAAAAGGAGGACCAAGGATTTATTCCAATGCTCCATCTATTTTATTTTTTGCCAATTGATTTTCTAGCTGACTTATATTCAACTAATTCAAGGCCATTTAAAAAAAAAAGTCTAAACAATTCAGAACTTTCATCTAATCTCAAATAAGCTCATCCTGACTCTTCAGAACCAGAAGACAGACCAGCACTGCTACATAAAACCAGCATTTCCCAAAGCCTTGCAATATTTCCATTTAGAACTGAAAGGAAAAGAATAGCAGGAGTACCTGGTAAGGGTTTGTCAGCAGTCATGAATTGCAAGTTACAGTAAAGAAAAAGGAATTACAAAGTTAGACCATCATGGTCTAACAGGAGTCTACAGTATTTTCAAATTTTTTACATTCTGAAAGCTGTTCCAACTACCATGGATTCCAGCTCCAGGAAAGTTATCTGAAATTTAAATCAAGATTCCTGGCACTATGAACTGCTGCTTCTCAGGGTCGTGAGAACCAGTTTAAAGCCTGGAACAGACCTCAAACCCAGCCTGTTCAGATCCATCTTAAACCAGAAAGAGCAAAGCCAGAGATCAGAGACCTGCACTTCTGCAGCAGATGTTAATGCAGCTTTAGTGCTCCCCAATTCTACACTGAGATCTCCCTGCTTAGGGAGCTCTGCACCAACCTGCTCTGTACATCAGAACTGCCTTCTACAGACATTACTCTTTAGGATCAGTTCCTTCAGCCTGCCCAGAAATGAACACTCAGCTCCTTGCAAAGTAAAAAGACAAATGACAGCTGCCTTGGAGTTTGGCATATTTTGGGACAATACACATCTGCCTTCCGGTTTGACTGCTGCAACACAGTTTACTAAGCAAGGACATCCATGTGGGAAACACAAATAGTTCTGGCCTTCAAATAACAGTCATGGTAGAACATGAGTCACTACAGAGTGATGGCATGGACAAGAAACACCACACACAAATTTGACAGGACAGAATGTACCTGAGGAGAAGGAAGGCACAGTGAAAACAAGTGGAGCTGATTCAATCAGCTGAGCACTCACAGAATCAGATCTGCATAATTTCAGCACTCTGGGGCACTCCAGAAAACAAGGTCCACACCTGATCAACTTGCACTCAAAATACACATAGGAAATGCAGCCTCAGTGCACTTTCAGCTGAGCAGTGATTTGGACAAATACTCCACCACTGATCCTTAAACTGACACATAAATAAAAAAAGAATAAACTTAATTTAATCAATTTAAATGCCACTCTTTAAGAGTGACCACTTCTGTCACTGTTTTTAACTTGCAGAAGCAGGGGTTGTGTGTTTGTATTCACAGTTCTTTTCCAGTACAAAGCATTCAGTCATTTTCTACTCATCCCACCACATAAAAAGCTACAAGGAAGACCACAGGCCTTTGCTGTTTGACTGTGGGAACCACTGGTCTAAAACTGCCAGGCATTCCAGGAGACAAGAGTGTGCCTGAATCAGCAAGCAGCTTCTGGGCACTCCCAGAATCTGGATATCTGCATTTCACCTACACAACACCTCAAAAGCTTGGATACTGCAACTAATTTCTTGATTACCAAGAAACACCAGGTTTTACTTATATGTGATACTAGATTTCAAATATGTTTATTTGCATGCTGATATGACCCTTAAAAACAAAAATCAACAAAACAATGGCTAGAAGTTAAAAATATAAGTGAAACACAGAAATATTAGTTTTCTCACTGATTTAAACATTCTGTTCAAAATCTGATGTACCCTGATTTCATTGTGGATCTTTTTAAAGAAGAGTAAATTTGTTTACTTAGTCTGTAAGACAGGGCAAATGTTTACCAGAAGGTAGAGGAACCACTTGCTGCTACAAATGTCTGCCAAGAAAAGAAAATCCAGACAATACTCTCTTTTGCCCAAGAGATTAAACATCAAAAAAACCGAATGAAACAAAAGCCATTTGCAGTATTTTCCCTTTTAAATCAGTAGTGTTCATAGCTCTTGGTTTGCCACTAGCTCTTGGTTTGCCTTTAGGAACTTACCTGCAGGAAGATCCAGGAGGGCCCTCTTAAGGAATAAGCAGACCAGAGTAACTACAGAAGGGCAAAAGCTCACTGATCCTGAGTTCTCTTCACATAGTTTAGATTTACTCTGACATATTCCTTCCAGTACATTGAGACCCAGAACACTGAGAACACAGGAACATGAGGACACCGCAAGCCTTCACACTAAAACATCATAGTACTTTAACATGTAAGTGCAGAACAGCAAAACTCTTAATCCCTGTAGCTCTCAGGGTACTTCCATGTACTGCTTCATACCATGACAGTAATTAGACAAAACATCTTGGTCTTTTGACCTAGGGACATCAACTCCAACACCTACTGCAACATAAATCCCACAAAACCTTTTTTTTTTTTCTTTTGGAAGGGGGAACAGTAGGAATCACCTGTCTCACTCACCCATTCTAGAAGCTCCTCCCATAAACCAGAAAAGACAAGCTTTATCTAGGCCTTATAGGCTGCTGCTACTAGACCCATTCCAGTCAAAATATGAACTTATCTTTAAATCTTATAACTTGGGTATACTTGAGCCTCTGTGTTCAGAGAATAACTGATCTCTGAAGTCAGAAGGCAGCTTTGTGGGCCTGTGTGCTACAACTCTGGAAATACTCCAAGGCCCAGAACAAAATGCATTCCAAATCCAAACTAGAAGCCCAAAAGAGTAGGGACTTTGACTTTATCCAGCTCACCGGATAAAGCATGATTAGGTTTTTTCCTGTAGTGTTAACACATTAACACACATCTCTATTGTTTTGTCGGGAGAAATTAGGAACCCAAGTATTAACTTTGATGTAGAAACCCATCAGTTCACACACTGCAGCCACTTTCTAAAAGGTGGCTAATCAGGAAAAGTCCATTTTGAACTTTAATTCATTCAGGGTCTGTACCTCCACAGGAAAACTGCTGGGAACACATGAATCAAGAGGTAAGAAACAGCTTCCAAATTAGGAAATCTTGTACACTTTTAACAGGTAAAATCATACATTGCACAGAATCCCTGCCTAATTCATGCCCTCTCCCCTCTAACTAATTTCCCATGGGATGTTAAGTCTGGATAAGAGACAGTTTTTTCCTTCAAAGTCAGCAGGACTTTGCCAACAGCAGCAAGCATGAAGAGTGGCACTTTGAAGCCCACACAAGTTGGGAAGCTCTGCAGAAGAGAGCTCTCAGCAGCAGGAGCCATCTGCAAACTGACCATCGCTGGTCAGTGTCTGCACTGCACTGCCTCATTGCCCTGTGAAGGAAGCACACGCCACATGGCACGAGAGAATAAAATTCCTCTCCACTACAACCTCAAAAGAGATAAGGCAGCTTTATGAGGTGATTACATATCTAACAGACAATGTTGTCTCTGCACTGAACAGCTACTCATTGCCTACTCCTGATCCTTGCCAACCCTGCACTGCACTATGACCTGTCTATTCTGACGCACAAGATCACAACCATCTTTTTCTTATAATTTAGGATGAAAAGGGCATAAAACTCCATCTCAGCTAACAGTAAGATGCTGATCTTCCAAGTGCACTAAGCCTTCTGCAGAAGAGTCCACCAGTCCCTGCTTACTGTCCACCCCTTGTTCGGAGCACACCCTTTTATCCCCCAGCACTTTAACAGACAGCACCTAACACACATATCCCACCCTGCCTTTATGTTTTCCATACCATCTTCCCTGCATTCTGGGAGGATCCTGCTTAGGAAAGCAGCAGGAAGCAGTTTACCTGGTGTGATCTGGCGGGCACGCTGTTTACCAGGCCCTCTGTGTCGGAGGGCGCCTTCTGCGGAGCCTGCTTAACCGGAGACATCAAGCTCTCAGAGGTACTGCAGCTGACGAGGTGGCAGAGCAGAGTTTGCACGACAGTGTTCAAGAGGTAACACAAAAAAAACCCAAAAAAACAGAACAAAAAACAAAAAGACGAGTGATGGCAAGATGAAAGTGGCAGATTACGCCAAAGTAAAAGTGAACATAATGGATTCTAAAATAAACAGATATGATTCTCCATCTCTCCCAAGGTATTTCTCTAACCTTCCTCCAAGTTTCATTAGTAAGCAACATGAAGGAGCAACTATTGACATAGGATAGCAGCTCCTCCAAAACCCCTGTTCCTCAGTTATTCCCACTCAACCCAACTCATGTGTTTTCTTCTCTGAGGCTTCAGACTCAACTAACAGTGGTAAAGCCACCAGCTTTACGTATCAGAAGGTACTTCCTACCAAACTCCACATTAGTTCTCTTGCTTTTGGTTAGACTATGATCCCAAATTAATGCTGCCCACTCACAGTAGACACTAGTCTCTGGAGCAATCATCTTAAAGAGTCCCAAGTGACATTTTAAGCTATGTGCCCTCATATGGCTACTTGAATAATCAAGCAAATCTTGTTTTTCAAACAGAAGAACTGTCTTGTGGTGAGAACAAACAGCCCTAAAAAAAGGCTGCCAGTTTTCACTCTCTGATTGCTTCTTTCCATCTGCTTAAAGCAGGATTGAAAAGAAAGCAAGCCTGTAATAGAGAAAGGAATATCAGAGATTTAAGCACAGGAGCAAATGCCCTTAAAGTCAGTAGCTTCTGGGCAATGGGTCTCTCAGTGCTAGATCCATCTCCTTGTACCAAAGCACCCAAGAAAGGAAACTAGCCATCTCCTTGGCAGCAGACACAGGAGCTCCCTTTGCTACCAAAACCCTCTGACCACTTTTTTCCTCAGTCTTTGTAGACAGATAGTCTATAAAGTAAGTACAGAAGCAAACAAACGAGGACAGTGACATTAAGCAGACCACCTCCTCACAGGGCAAGCATTTTTATCCTTTGATAAGTCTAACCATAGCAGACTTAGTTCCTCATACATGCAGTAGGTAAGAATTTTTTTTTAAAAATACTGCTTCAGCCATCATGGAAGGGGTTTCTACTGTATTAGAGACAATGTAGCCCTTCTGTTACTAAAATTATGCATCATTCATTGTTTTATCCATTGTTTTATCCAATTCCTCAGGTCTACACTATCTAAATGTTATCACTCAGGTTTAAGCAACTAATGTACTTAGATCCCTCCAAGTTTTCAAACACCTAAGCTGTCTGAGAGTCCGACACTTTCAGGGAATTTACTTTTATTTTGAAACAGAAAGGGCTCTGAATTTCCTGTGCTTTAGTCAATGCACTGGTGAGTTCACTGTTGGAAGAGATGGAGGGACACCACCTGGGATAAACAGCAAACTCCACCCCAGTTAGACACGAGACAATGAAACTCAAGCATCCAGTGAAATGCACCATCCCTTTGCCAACAGATTCCAGCACAAATTACAGTGAAGTCATGTTAGTAGAGAGTTAGCTAGTTAGTCAGCAAAGGAAATGTGTACACACACACAGTATTAACAGCAACCACCAACTTGATTAGTTACCATGGTGTCTAGTGGGACTGGAAGAGAAGACCCAGCCCTGCTACATTCCCAATCTGGCGTCTATATCAGGATCTCTGTAAGGAGAGGAAGGTAAGCAGGATCCGATCCCAGCGCACCAAGGCAGAAAGAAAAAGAACAAAACAAAAAAACCCACCAAAGTCAGAGCATGAAGGGGGTCTGTGGCCATGCAGGAGTTCCAGACGCCACGTAGGGCCCCAGCCCACCTCAGTTCAAGGCAGAATGGTTATCTGGGAGTAAGTACATCTCTCCACCACCACACACCGAGTTAGCATCATATAGAAGACAGTCCATAAGTTTGGAGGGGGTCACAGCACAGTTGGTTTCTCTCTACACATCATGCAGAGCTAGCATGGTCAGTGAAAGCACTATTTAAACCTCAGAGGTTACGTAACTTTCCCAAGGGAGCAGTTAAGTCTACTACAAGAAATGACAGTGCATGAACTACTGCTCCAGGCTCGGCACCAGCGTGTGTCCTCCAGCAAGAAGACACTGGAGGGCAGGTCAGTGGGAAACAAGGCAAGCAGGCCACCTCAGGCACACTGCTGGTGCATGACACTGCAGGCTTCTTCTCAATTCTTAGGGGAAGGACACATGCAGAGAGGGAAAACCAGGCTTTCCACACAATTTTGAGCACGCACAGCCGCCTTTGATGTATTTAGCCTTACCATTGGGCAATAGCCAACTCCCTTTCTCTAAGCTCTCCAACTGGGAAAAGGACAGGGCAAAGTTTAATTGGGAAATCCCCATAAGTTTATTTTTGGAGTTATTTTCTTTTATCCCAAGGGCAACCCAAAGGACCTGCAGCAAGCAGGAATATTTGTTGGGGAAAGAACAGAAGAAAGTTATAAGTTTGGGGGTTGTTTCTAAGACTACATACATAATTTTCATTCTTTTTTATAGAAGAATCTAATTAGAGAGGAGAAAAAAGGAAGCACCTCCTCCACCAGTACCAAGCTTCATCACCACAGGACTCAAGTCTGCCTTTGTTAGTTCTTGTTGCTTTTTCATATGCCCATGCAAAGAACTGTGCTTCACTTTGGAGCTATCCTCCTAACACTAAAAACCTTGCAGGGATGGGAACAGTTAACAAAAACCAGACAGAGAATGAGAATGGATGCGGAGTGGTTATTCCTTCCTTACTTTGAAGTGTGGTGATGAATGGGGTTTTGATAAGTATACTCCAGGCTTAGAAGTCAGACACGGGTAACTGAAAAATCCAGGCCTGATCTCAACACAGAGCATTCTTTGGAAGTGCACATATGACCCTTTTCCTTTGGGGGTGGTAGAGAAAGTAGAGCTGGAGGGAAGGGGAACAGACCAGCTAGGGGATCTTGGATTAAATTTTCCTAGGGCATATATGCCTGTGGCTGGGGATCAACTTCAGTATCTACTGATTTTAAAGTGCAACTCCTGGTCAGTATATCTTTTCAAGCACAGTACAAAGATAATCATTAAAGGCAGATGATCAGTGCTCCACATGGCCATACCCCATCTGTAGCCATGACTGTGAAGACTTGGCCAAAACAACTCCTACCCCCCTTCAATCCCTCCCTCTGCTCCTGCTGCTGTTCCTCACATCGCCCACAGGTGAGGAGGGAGATCTCTTACCCAGAGTATCGTTTTTTAGAGTTGTTCTTTCTGATGACAAGACACACGACAATAGAGATGAGCGATGAGAGACCTGTAACCGCACCGATGGCTATCCCCGCCACCGTGGCAATGGGGAACGCTGGCAGGCTGTCTGGGGAGAGAAGGGAGAAAATATTCAACTCTTCTGCATTCCCTCATCAACAGAAGTGCAAACCACAAATGCTCTCAAGCTTGGATTCATTTAGAGCAGGAGGCACTAATGTAATATTCAGAAATTACACCCTGCAGCCTGAGTGGGGGTAAGAGCAGGCAGCCAGTAGAACAATATGTGAACAGAGCACACACCAGGGGCGTTCTCAGGGCCACTGCCCTTCAGAACTGCATATATATTGAACCAAGAAATTTTACATGTCAGGAAACACAGCTGACAATGAGGACAACCCTATCTCATTTTGTATCTCAAGGTGGGGGGAAAAAAGTTAGATTCATCTTCACATTCCCAGAAAGGTCAACATGAAAAGGCAGGCACACTTGAAAGCAGATTTGAACACAGCACATTGCTAACCTGCTGAAGGCTGGGTGTTTTCCACGTAGCATGCAGCAGACAGCACAGTTCCTACCCATGATCACTCTTACTAGTGTTTTTACATGATTCTGGTGTCTCTAAATACAGCTCGATACATTTTTGTGGACTTGTTTTTTTCCTTCTTGCATCAGGGTCACTGGACAATACCAGAAATATACGTAGAGGAACGCAGTATTGCTTTACTCACATTCTCCCTAATATTATCTTCGGGGAAGGTAGGCTAAGAAAGAGCCATCAGAAACAAAAGCCAATCAGAAGAGAAGGAGTACAAAAGACCTAAAAGATAAAGAATACACAGACTACCACTATAGCTTTTCCCAGTAAGAAACAAAATCCTTTCCTTTCCCCTGCACCGTGTCTAATGTAAGGAACTTCTTCGGCCAGAGGGTTTCTTACAAGACTCCAAGCTGTACCAGGTACTTGCACCAAATACAAATGAATCAGCAGAAGACCCTATAGGTAAAACAACTTACCTAGAAAAATCTGTCTCAGCCCTTCCTCTCATGTTTGTCTGGTTATCACAGAACTGCTGAGGTTGGAAGGGACATCTTGAGACTTTACAGTCCAACCCCCCTGCTCAAGTGGGATGAGGTAGCTCAGCTTACTCAACACTCTCCAGTTTGGAATTGACTGTTCCCAGGGATGGGAGACTCTTTGGGCAACCTACTCCAGTGTTCAATTGCAGTAAAAATGTGGAGTTAAGCTCAGACAGAATTTCCTGTGTTTTGATTTACACCCATTGTCTCTTGTCCTGTCACTAGGCACCACTGAAGAGCCTGGCTCAGTCTTCTTTAGATGCCATCAATGTATATAAACACTGGTGAGAAGATTCCCGAGCCTTTCTTCTCTTCTGCAGGCTGGACAACCCCATTTCTCCTCGTATGAAAAGTGGTACAGTCCCTTAATCATCTTAGTCATCCTTTGCCAGACTTGTTCCAGCAAGGACCACAGACCATGTGTATTCAAGCCCTTCCCAGCCAGTCTGTAGTCTGTTGACCAAGCCCATTTTGACACGCTTATGTAGAAGGGAGCAGTACCCTGAAGCAAAGGCATCATACTAAAAAAACAGGGCTTTCACTTAGTTCTGTTACTTTTGGGTTCAGCAACTTTCAGGAGAAGAGCTGTCTCAGTAAGAAATTACAGATGAAGACGCAAGTGCCACAACTTAGAAGACATCCCTTCTTTTCAGAACCTTCAGCAGCCCAGATATCCTTCTGCTATTAAGGAAAAAAGTCCTACAAATGGTAATATTTTTCAGGTGATTGCGTTTGAGCCCCATGCAAAAATAAACAGATTTATTTTGAGGCACATAAGGAGTTCCCTAGTTTCTGTGCGTTTTCACCATTCCAGAAGTGCAGGAATAACTGCCTGCAAAAACATCAAAAGAGACATGCATTTCTGTCAGCACAGCTGCTGCTGCCTCGTACACCACAAAAGAAAACACACAAGCCTTTTCAGAGCAAGAAATCAAGTAACAGTCCAAAACTAGAGAGCAGATTGTTTGCTGGAAGAACAATGTTAAAATTTGATAGAATTGTCGCTTCTTTGACTCAGGGGTTTTCTAGTTAGTTGAATCTGAGTGATGGACAGCACTTACGTTCTGTTGACAGAGGTTATTAAGACCATATAAAGAAATGCAACTGTTTGCATGTGAAACTAGAGTATGGCTTTATTGCTTCTCAGAACTTGGTCCAGCAGATTACAGAAGAGCTCACACAATTTTATGATCACTTAGTTCAGCTAAAGAATGTTTCACCCTCATGTTTTTCCTGTATTTTCCAGCATTCCAGTTACATGATTTCCTCATAAGCACTTCCGGAGCAGCCAGTGACTTTATTATAACAGAACACCTACATAACAGAACACCAACTCTGAAAGCTAACATTTTAGTTAACAGCTCAACACAAATTAAAAATCCAGCCATTCAGAGAACACTTTCCACTAATTATGACTGTAATTCAAAGCAATTTCCATTTTCACTGAAAGCCTGTTAGCATCAGTTTTATGAAACAGGCAGGAAAGGGAAGTTTCCATTGCTCCTAAGTATAAAGATTTTCATACAATTATCATTTTCAGTGTTCAGATCAAAGATGAACAACCTCCAGGCAACACTAGCTGCCTTGAACACACTGTGAAGTAGCTGCCTGTTACAAATAGTTACAACCTATTTATTACAGGAGCAGCACTTTCAGGTGAAGGCAGGAATACAAGACAGCATTTCATCTGTAGCTTGAAAACCTGCTTTCACAGTCTTCCTAAGAACTTGAAGACAATTGTCGCAGCATTTTTCTGAGGATGAGAATGATTCTGAATTCAGAGTTTCCTCCACAATCGTTGTGATCCTCTTGTGCAGACGCCCCACCATGCACAGGAAGCCAGCATGCAAGTCTGTTAAAAAAATATCATCTGAATTAGTGTACCTAAGTCAGTCTTCATTTGCTTAACCTGGGTTAAAATCTGAAGAGAATTTGCCAAGAACAGCGTGACTTCGCCAAACTGGCAGTTGCTTTAGTGCTTCTTCGTGGTGACCATCAATACACTGTGAGAAAATAAACTGCCCCTGCTTTATATAGACTTCAAACTTCCAAGAAACAGAAAGTTCTAAGTGATGGTTGGATCTCCAGAGGTCCCATCCAACTCCAACTGCTCCATGAAGAGAAAAGTTAGATACAAAAGAATCTTTGCCTACAAAAGAACATGGAATGACCTCGTGAGCAGGGATACACACCTGCTATAGCAGCAGCATCATTCTAATTAGAGCATACACGTAGGTATCGTCCCTAACATACTAAAATCTAATGAAACAGCTGCACCAGCACTGCCATTTGAGAATTCAACATTTATTCTTGTCCTTATTCAATTATGAATTTGGAAATCCAATCACTCCAAGAACCATTTCATTGCAGGAAGCATCTCACTTTGGCTGACTTCCAGCTTAGGCAGAACAATCAAATGTTTTGGATGATCAAGCGTGTGCCAAATTGACACAAAGAATCTAAGTGCTTGGACCAGAAGCCTTATGTGGCTGCAAGTAGCCAGCCCTTGCAGTTTATAAGGGTCACCACTGAAAGAACATTCCAGCAGAAGAGACTGAATGTACATCCAACACAAACACCTTTGCAGCGAAGACAGCAGCATTTCACTGCCAGTATGTGCTTGGGCCAGGTTTATGGTGTTGTATTCCATTATATATACCAGACGGGTTCCAAAGGAAAGAGTCTGCCACTTTGTCTCCTTGCTCCCCAGATTTCAAATGTCATCCCAGCCCTTAATGTAGCAAAATACAGGAAATGCATTCATAGGACTTCGAAGTAAGAAGATACGTTCTCATCAAGGCTTCCACCAGCTTTTGCTAATAATTGTTTAAAGCATAGGAATTAATGGGTATAGAGGAAACGTGTGTGACATTCAATTTTTTAAACAGCTGACAGATATTTGTTCAAACATTAGGACCTGGAAGAAGAGAATTAAAAATATAATTGTTCCCTCCAGGCTACTCCCCACCCCCAATAAAAGCGACACAGACAAGGAAGGGGGAAAATAAAAATAAAATTAAAAAAAAGGTGGGAAGGAAAAGAAGAAGTCATATAGGGTGAATACCTTTCTCCACAACTCTAACTCGGATTTCTCCTGGTTTGACAACAATGTCTGGTGGGTTCTTGACATCACAAATGTATGTGCCGTTGTCCCGGAACTGCATGTTTGATATAGTGATAGAAGCATCTTTCTTGTTAAGATCTCCAGCCCAAGTGATCCTGTCTTTAAATGGTATGTCCTTTCCAGGGTATGATTTTCCATTAGAGTAATAGAAAAACTGCAGTCAAAGAAAAAACACACAAAAACAATCCAATTAGAGATTACAGAGCTACCGTGCTTCTCTCACTGTTACAGCATTCTCCCAGAACCAACTGAATGATACATATTTGAGACTTTTTTTCCTCCTCCTGCCTCAACAAGCAAAACTTTAGTATGGCTTGGTGCCTCTTGATCCCATAATCATTCTAAGGCTTATACCTCAACCCTACCAGCACAACAGACCACAAGTTCCAGTTTTCAGTTGGTTTTCATTTGTTTGTGGTTGGATTGTTTGGTTGTTTGGGATTTTTTTTTCCTGTTTTGAAGGACAGTTTTGAACACAAAAGGGGCAGGATGGGAAGAGAAAAAGGCTGGTAACCCGGGAATAATTAAAGCTCAGAACACTTCTGGAACACAGCCATCCGTCTTTTAGGCACAGGAAGCTGCCTGCATCCTCATAGGAAAAGGATACCAAGTTTCCTAACTCATGATTTGCTGTGTGTTACTTGCAACTAAAGCACAGTTAAATTAATGTGCAACATCCTTCTTCCTTCCACCCCCCTAAAAAATCCCATGAGTAATTTAGAGTGTATCTAGCTGTTTTCCAGAAACCTTCAAGTAACTAAATAGAACTGTTTCCCAGTTTTTAAATGAGTAAATTGCACACTGGCCCTGCACAACCCAGACATGACCAAAACTCCTTGAAGAATGAATCTGTGCAGTATAGTTTAGGGAGAAACTGCATTTGTCCTGACTATACCTGACCAAAATTGGAATTTACAGCAGTAGAAGTGCACAGACTTCTACAGGACACCCCTGTTTTCAAACACATAGCATCCCGTAAGAGAGGTCTACAGATTAGCATAAAAACCATCTCGTACAGAAGGAAGTCTGCCAGCACACAGTCATCTTTCATCATTTCGGAGGAACTGCATCAGTCTGCAGCTGGATTATAACCTTTAACACAGTAGTACTGCATTACCACCCCCTGAGCACAGGGAAAATCCAATTAGAAGTCTAGAGGGCAAGACGTAGATTCCTCAGCTCTCTAGGTGTCCTCACCCAGTGGGGGAGAAATCACAAAGTAAAGTATGTCCTAAAACACAGGCTACATGACTCAAGCCACTCCTTGCCTACAAGGATTTAACATGAAACCTAAAACTGATGAATTTTGATTGGTTTAAGTCAATTGTGAAACTCTGCAGTGATCAGATGTTTCATTCATGCAAAGATGTCTCTACCCCTGGACATGTGCCAGGGAAGGGGACAAGGAGGGGAAGCTCCTGGTCAAGTCAGCCTCACCACATGGCCATAAGATTGCCAGTGTGATTCTAAAGAGGCACAGGACCATCCTTGTCAAGAGAAGCATGGACTCAGTTCAGATATAAGCTGATCATAAGGTCAATCTTTCAAAGTAAAGCCCACCAAGATATGTAACAACATGACTTGGGCTCATAAAAGAAAAATGTTCCCTCTATACTTCCCCCAGACCCTCAAAAGAAACAGAGGAAATAACATCAGATCATGCTGGGTCACTTCTGCTTTTCTCTCAGTTGTGCTGATAACTACATCCACGTGGAATGTCTAAACTGACTACACTTCCAAAAAATGTTATCTCCTGAAGCTGTACTTCCACAACTGGACAGTGATGCAGAAAGGGAATGGAAAGATATATGGGGAGCGGAAAATGTCCAAAGAAATGACTTGTTTTCACTCATCCTGTTCAATGTTGGCAGGAAATGTGCCCTACTCTCTTAAACTTTTGACAAACTACTGCTTTGGCTTCCCAAGGAGAAGAGCACCCTCTTGAAAACAAAGTATTTATTTCACTGAAAATTGAGAAGCTTGTTATTCAGAGCTGTATATATTAAGCAAGATCTCACACAGTGATTTGGATCATCTCTGCTTTGAGCACTGAAGGGGTCCTAGAACTTAAGCGATCCCATGTCTGCAGCAGACGGGAAGCAGTCAGGCTGAGCACCCTACTGTCTCCACATCTTCCCTGCTGCCCCAGAGTCCCTTGTTCAGCTTCCTCTAAATTCTCACTCAGGATAAGGAACAAGAAGGAAGCAGAAGTGTCAGGGAGTTCAGATGTGCCCAGCTTATGCAACCTACCAAAGCCATTTCTTTAAAGGTTCCCACCCAAAGGATCTGAGCCCACTTGGGCTCAACATACAGGAAATGAGTGATGTCAAATATTATTTGCCTAAGTTCCTTGCCTAGCTTGGCTTTTTACTTGTCATATAACTAAAATATGAGGATGTAACTGCTCACTGATTTGAGCCATTCAATTCTGTTCTGAAACCAGAGACTGGTCTTACTTCAAACCCTCTCAAACAGAGGCTATACAGTACACAAGTAAAATAAGCAATATGCACAACACAGTGTAACACTGCAATTCCAGTGATAATTCAAATTCTGTGACCGCTCATTTCAAGTGCAAGAGGATAGAGAACTCAGAAGATTCCTTGATACTCATCTACTTCATACATAGTGCTATGACACCAACGCCCCTCTCCTCAGACTAACAAAGTAGCTGGTATATTTTACGCTCACTACACACTCCAGTCTTTGCAGCAATCCCCCTAAAATCACAGTAATGGAGACAAGCCACATGGAAGGAGGCTCAAATCCATAATCTGTTTGCTCCTTAGAACCAACTAGAAGAACCACTGCACACTTATGGCAGCCTCCCCTCCCAGGTTTGTCCCCCTCCAGCCATTCCTTACTGAGATACGAGTTGCGGCTCCCTCTGGTTGAAAGCTCCAAGAAACAGACGCTGCGCTGCTGATCACTTCCACAGATGTGAACGTGCACGGAAGCTTGGCGTCTGTCCCGTTCTCCACAAACATCTCCTCTGGTGTGTTGACCTCTACTGCTGATACTTTGACTGTGTGGGAAAGGTAAAGACAAGAAAGAAGGAGGACAAGCAACATCAGTGCTGTTTTGAGAACCAGGATGTTCATAGCACATTGCCTGAGGGGAAAAGAGAAGAGGCATGAATAACTCCTACATTAAGCATGTTCACAGACATTGCATTTTATACCTGCAATACAAACAAAGATAGAGTGGGCCAGTTAACTCCTTTTTCCTTGTATTATCTGTCATAGGATGTTTTTCCATCCACAGATGTTTCCTCTGCAACAGTTTGTGTGAGTCAATTATATGGTGCTAGGAGTGAGTTTGAAACTCTTTCATAAAAGGTGCCACCAGACATTTTAATAAATAAGCCCCATAAGAGGAACTAACAACTTGGACCCAGCTATTACTCAGTTTCCTCTCTGGCTCGCATCTTGTTTCACATCTCCAGTTTTTCCTAGTTGTAGGTAGAACAAACTCTCACTGCCAGAAAGCTGAAGAGTAATAAATTTCTCTCGCTCCCAGCTATGCCATCTACTCCTGCTCTCTGGCATGCTTCAAGGCCTTCCTGTGCAAGACCTCAGAAAGAATCACTCAGCTACAGTTCAGAAGCATGAGAGCAGTTCAACTTTTTTCTACCAAGCAAGCAGACCACAACCTCCCCCCAGATTTAAAGAAATGAAGGTTGATATTGCTCCTGTAGTGATAGTTCTCCTACTGAGTGAGGAAAATCCATCATGATTTGGAAAACCTGTTGAAGATATTCTTTATCTGGTAACTTCTAAACTCCAAAGACACTATCCCTATCCAGATTTAAGCAAAGAGTTCTACATTCATTCAAGTTTATGCTAAAAAACAAAGCATCATCTTGTGACATCCCAAAAGAATGTCCTTCAGCATACATGTCGTGTCCAAGCGAAAGCAAAAACCTTGTGAAGTGCCTGTGGGTGGGTGCACATGTGATCTGTGTCCCCAGTACCTCAAATTTATTTTGATTTTTATTAAACCATGATCTTCAGCCTAGAAATTTACTTCTGTTCATGATTCTGTGTTTCCTGGCTACAATATCTTAAATTCAGGGGGTTTACCCCCCTTTTTAGAAGAGGAGAGCAAACCTTCCTGCTTCTTCAGTATCTTAGCTGATTTATTTCTCAGCTTTGAATAGACTAGCACTTGAAGTAGGCAAACCAAATAGAAAGATGCTAGTCAAAGAAAATTTAAAATTTAAAAAAAAAAAAAAAGGAGAAAAATCTGCCTACATTAGTCTTTAAATCATGAGGTTTGTGCTTCTAGTCAGTGAGAGCAACCAGCTCATCAGCCTTCAAAAGTTAAGTCAGCAAGGTTCTTTCAGAGTGGTATGACCATCCTGAAGTGTAGACTTGCCTTAAAACCAGGTTATTTTATAGGAGCTTAAAATTAAGCAAGATAGACAATGTTTAAACCTTGTTGCCCAGGAAAACAAAGCTCTCGTGAGGTGTGCCACTTCCAATCCTCCTTCCTCACCCCGAGACTGCCAGTTCCACTGGGCCACTCCAGCTGTCCGGCCACAAACACCAGCTGGCCCTGCAGCACAGGGGGTTGCAGCTCATCCAATGAAATGGCCAAACAGTGAGAGATGGAAGCCCCCTGGCCATCTGGGAACACCCAACAGGCACCACGGGACAGCTTCCAAGGAACTCCCACCTCACCCAGTCAGCATGGTAGAGCAGGGGAAGGCAAAGCACATGCCCAGGAGACATGGATAAGCATGTAAGCAAGGTGGGAGAATTAAGCATGACAGATTTATTACAACAACTAGAACCAGAAGAAACCACCGTTCTTTAATTTTGTCATTCAGAGGCCACACTGTTTACTTCCAAAATTCACTAACTTCTCCATCCTGTCAGGTTATCTCTGATCCCTTGAACTCCCCTGTCACTGCTCTCATTTCAAACAAGTGAAAGAGAAACAGCACCCTAAGGGGGGTGGGGAATGGGGGAGGTGAATTTTTCATCAAGAGGTTGTATCAGAACTTCCTTTCTCTTGTATATACTCTGACTGTGGGCAAAAAAATATCCTTTTGTAAAACAATTACCAAATGTTTATTTGGAACATACAAAGACTTCTAGCAATCAAATGAAATGAACTCAGAGCTGCTGTGCTTTATGTATTTTTTGCAGCTAATGGAGTAGAAAAGAAAAATAAAATAAAATCAAACCCATTGTTTTGAGTGCAAGCCACAGAACAAGCCTCCCTTTCAAGCATAAAACAAGCAAGATGCCCTCAGCATTTGTGCAGGAAGAAAAGAGTCTGCACAGACATTGTCTGCTTGTACATGGTACAGAGAACTGCTTGCCACACACAGGCAGTGGGTAGTACAGATCTGCTTAATCTAAAGAAGCCACTGTTCTAACTCACTGGAACTGTAGTGAAGCAAAAGAAAAAAAAAACTTCTCCCTACAGTCTGGGAAGACAGGAACTACATAAGCCTTTATAGATATTTCCAGCAAGTTTCATTTTCATATGTCCTACTGTTGTCTCAACTTCATGTTTTTCTTTGCTCATTTTCTTCCCTCTGCCTCTTTCACTGTTTCAGAAAGATTTTTCCTGCCTCTGTTATCTTACAGCATGAGACATGCACTCCTTAAATCCAAATGTGACTGTCTGGAAGTGGTAGAGAGGTTACAACATTTGTCAGTTGTTTACCCGTAGCCCCCTACTCCCACACTCGCTGATACAGTGGCTGATCCCACTACCTTGAACTCTTTGGCCTCCTCTGCCACAATAAAATCCACATGGACCACCTCCAGCTGGAGCTCTTTTCCTCCTCTTTCCACATCTGCCAGGATTTGCCATCCTTCTTCCACCTCTTCCACCTCTTCTTAAATACTTCAGCTAGAGAAAGTTCAATTTTGAGTCATAGTTCAGTCACACTTACCCACTACTCTATTCCTCAAGTTTACTCAGCCTTAGTTCCTCTCAAGAGAAAAAAAATCAAAGAAGACCATCAGAGAAAGAAGAGTGCTTTAGGAAGGGAAGGTCTGCAAGGTACACAGGGCAAAGACAAACATTTGCCCTTCTTCCATACATCCTCCTTGATCCCCTCAACTGCCAGCTAATCCCATTCCTGTCCAACTGCCCATAGCCCCAGTATTTCCCTCTGACCATCTCATCTAGCCTTCATCTGCTTTAACTCTTCCACAGAAAGATGCTTTTGTTTTTCTCACCAACCATCAAAATAATTGGAAAAAAAAAAAATCTGTGCCCCTTCACCTATTTCTTCTTCATCTCTAATGTTGTTGGAGCAGTTTTACTCCAACTACATGAACTCTCACTAGCTCCCACACTTCAATGAAAACTCTCCAGCCGCATCTTCCTTTTCAGACAATCCTCCTACTCTTGAAGTAGAACAAGACACTCGTATTCTTACTGCACTTACTAATCTTTTATTATTTTTCCCATCATGGATCTTCATTCTTCACCAACGCTCTCTCTATTCTCAGGTCTCTCTGTCCTCGGTATCTTGTCTCAGGGATCTCATCTGCAAAACAAGTTTAGGCTCCCATCACTGCACTGACTACTCAGATCTGCATCTCTGCTCAGGATCTGTCTCCTTATGTTCAAAGAACATTCTCAGTCTGACATCTTTGTCAAGTTGTCTAAGTTGTCAGCTCACAACTAAATGGGACTAAAACAGAAAGCACAACTGCTTTTATCACCGTGGACCTGCCACGTGTCTCTCCAACACAAAACCTGCTCAGCATCTCTGAACTCTTTGCAGGTCAAGGCACAGTCTCTCAGAGTTTCTATCCACCTGTTCAGCTGACACCAGTCTAAAAACTCCTGTTTGTACCTTGGCCTTCATTACTGTGATGTTCTTTTTCCTCTGGAGAGATGGTCAGCAAGACCAGTAAAGTACTGCAGTTCTTGGTAACCAAACTGCTCCAAGGGTGACAGTTCCCCTTCTCCTAAGAAGAGGAAGACATGACATATGCAGGATCACTGCTTCCTTCCATGAAATGATTACTGGTGACATAGTACTCAGCATATTCATTACACAGCATTACCACATAATAACCAGCTTTACTGCCTTAATACTGTTTTAGCTTACTTGTTGTGAAGGAACAAGACCTTCCTAACTCTGAAGGTGCAGCTCTCTCCAAGAGCTTAAGAAGATCTAAAGATGCCAAGCTTTGATTTCTTTGTAATACCACCAGCATGTATGCCAGGTGACACAGAATTGGTGACAAAGCTACATCATTTCAGGTAATGTACCCTCAGGTACTGTGCCATCACTGGTACTCTTCAGAGTGGCATCAATACACTGCTCTGAAATCACTCCTGTGGAAGAAGCCTTCACAGTTACCAAGCAGGGGAAGACAAGGGCAGTCAGAATTGATACCAGATAAGCATTCACAACCACAAGAGTTTGTCTCTAGTTAGTTAACCAAACTGTGGTTAACCATCTAGCTTTCAGTGAGATTAAGAGCAGTCAAGCTCACTGAACATTTGGTTTGGCAGCATGTCACAAAGAAACCACTGAAGTTCTACACAAAGTAACACACATCTAATTAGAAGTTCTTTGTAGATCACAGTCTCCACTGAAATCTTGGACCCAATGAAAACATTGCATTAATTAGGGCTATGAACACACCAAAATAAACTTAATTCCACTGGATTCAACTCAACTTGATCACTAGGAGTCGTAACAAACCAAGAATGCAGAGAGCCAACACTGTAAGCACGGGCATCTTATTTCCACCAGCGCAAACACAGCCCATGCAGAAACTTGGATCAGATCCCTAAATACTGGATATTTATGGCTGCTACAGTTCCTATCCTACATAGAGAAAAGTGCTGCTCCTCTTGAAATGGCCAGCCATCAGTTTATTAATTAATACAAGCAACTTGTTTTGTTTATCTTAAAGACACCTGGTAATACAGTCATGTATGCAATATAAATGAAGGCTTTTACGGATGAAAGACCAGGAAATAATCCAAATGTCTGATGAAAGAAAGCTGAAAAGACAGGCTGTTACAGGTAACAAGTGA